TTAATATATTTATTAAATAACATGTAAAATATCTAAATATTAAAATTAAAAGTATATTGTTTAATAAGAACTAGTAGATGCTATAATAAAATAATTTTGAAAGTACAATATTGTAATAAGAAAATCATATCACTAAGTACATGTAAACAACCTACATGGACAATGAGGTGGCATGTGAACCTGGTATAATGGGTAAATTTAAATCAAAAGGTTACCCAATGCTATAATRGGTAATTTTTTAAAGTAGAATGTTCTAATAAAAAATAGTTTGAAAGTACATTGTTGTAATAAGAAAAACTGGAAGTATAATACTATAATAAAAAAATTTATGAAAGTAGAKTGCTATTTTATGCATTTTACCCTAAGACTATTTATTTTTAGAGCAACTCCAACCTCAACACCAAAAAGGAACATCAAAAACACCAAATATTGTGTGCCCATAAACATTAAAAAAACTCAACTCCAATCACACTCTAAAAAAAACACCAAATTTGTGGACCYCACATTAAAATAACATATTTTATTTACTATTTTTAATAACAATATTTATAATTTGTAATAGATATTATAATAATACRTAATTAGTAATTAATTTATTTAATGAAGAAATGTTAAAATAAAAACCATAAACTTTTACTTTTATATTTAAAAAGATTACATTAGTTCAAATAGCACAAATTAAAAAAACAAATAAATAATACTAATTCTCCGAGTTAGTATATTCGTCCTACAAATGATCAATTAATKCATTACGAAKTTCAAAGTGAGCATATTTATCCTTGATCTTTTTGTGTCGAACAAGAAACTGTTCAAGTCCACCATTGTTATCGTTCATCATCTCAACTCTCACGTCTTGCATTTCACTTCGTTCTTCAATTGGTGCATTAATATCATGTTCATCTTCTATGATCATATTATGCATAATGATGCACGAAGTCATTATATCATGCAATATTTCCTTCCTCCATAACCGTGCAGGTCATGCTACTATTGCAAACCTTGATTGCAATACGCCAAATGTACGTTCTACGTCTTTTCTACATGCTTCTCGTTTCTTTGCAAAATATTGTTTTTTAGGGCCACGTGGATCATGAATAGATTGAACAAGAGTGGCTTATTTTGGATATATGTCATCAGCTAAATAATAATCCATATTATATGATTTTCCATTGATGACATAATTAGCAGGAGGAGCAGTATCTGCTGCAAGATTTGCAAAAAGATGGGAGGACTCCAACACATTAATGTCATTGTTGGACCCCGGTAAACCAAAATATGCATGTCATATCCAAATATCATAGTCTGCTACAGCTTCAAGAATAATACTTGGAGATCTACTACGACCGGAATATTGTCCTCCCCAACCGGTTGGACAATCTTCCATATCCAATGTATACAATCTAGACTACCTAACATTCCTAGAAAACCTCGTTGTTCTCCAACTTGGAGTAGTCGTGCCACATCATTAGCAATGGGTGTTCGGAGATAGCGTTCTCCAAACACCTCCACGATGGCACGACAAAACCGCTTCAAAGCTTCTAAAACCGTCGATTCGCCTATTTTAATGTACTCATCTGTAGCATCTGCAACCACGCCATATGCCAACATTCGAAATACAGCAGTAACTTTTTGATAACCGGACAACCCAAGTTTGCCGCATCCATCCCTTCGTTGGAGAAAGTAGTTGATACTGAGTTTCTACTCTTGACCAAAACTTATCTTTTGATTGGTTTCTATCTATTATTGGATTTTGAGTTATATCAAGATAACAATGACATAGATGTATGTCTTCGTTATCTTTGTAGGATGAAGTTCGGATTGTTGAAGACATTTTTATGAAAAAACTGGTAATATCTCAATGAAAATGTGTGTGATTTAGCTTACTGACTCAACCGGATAGCATCCAAAATACGAAGAAATAAAGTACGACTCATTCGGAATCGTCGACGAAACATCRACTCAGGAAATCGAKGATTTTCAGAAAAATAATCATTGAAGAGATTGCGATCGGCATATTCCCGATCACGATTGACAACTATATGGCCAGGAATAGAACCACGATAAGATACATGGTTGTTTTGAACATAATTACAGATATAATTATCCACTTCAGACGCTAGATTGAATGCCTCGACCATTAGTTCGGCATTAGTATTATCAAAAGCCTCATCGTCTGAATACAAATTATCAGCCATTTGAGTGGTATTTCTCAACAAAGAAGATTGYAAATATAGTTGAGATATTTTTTTATAGCTGTGATTCAAGTTTTATACTGAGAATCAATGGTGTTGTCAATTCTTACTAGACTTTACAGAAGAATCTTACTAGACTTTTAAGAATAATCTTACCAGTGTATTGTCTAATCTGTCTTCATTTGGAGTGAACTGAAAATTTTGTGTATAAATAAGGGGCGAGTCAGTAAGCTAAATCACACACATTTTCATTGAGATATTACCAGTTTTTTCATAAAAATGTCTTCAACAATCCGAACTTCATCTTATAAAGATAACGAAGACATACATATATGTCATTATTATCTTGATATAACTCAAAATCCAATAATAGATAGAAACCAATCAAAAGATAAKTTTTGGTCAAGAGTAGAAATTCAGTATCAACTCAGTATCAACGACAAAGTCCTTATCAATCACCTTCTTCCGGACCTGGTTCATCRTCTGGAACAGATGCCGGTTTACTGTCATTGACTATTCACGACGCAGAAGGTACTCAGAAACCAATTGGTGTGAAAAAGACAAAATCAATGCTCCAATCTGATAATAAGCTAGAGACCTTAGTCAAGGCTAGTAAAAAAATGAGCAAACAAATAGCCAAAAACAATGAAGTTAGGATGAGAAGGAATGAGTTTCAAGCTCAGAAAAATGCGATAGAGTTAAGGTTGGCAGATGACAAACTTATGTTCACCGGTCTAAACTCTATCACTGATCCTGTGTGTTATGAGYTCATAAAAAATGAGAAAATTCAAATAGCGAGAAAGAGAGCAGAACCCCAGGTTCATATGTTTGGACAAGGATCAGAATTCGTAGCATCTCAATATCGAGTATATCAACATCAACAATTTGGAGGAGTTCAAGACCAGGTCGAAGGATCTCATAACGTAACAGGAAATTTTAGTCAGTTTATGTCTAGCGGAGACGATTGGACCCTTTAATTTATGTATTTTAGTTTTTAAAATTTCCATTAATAAACTACGTTTACGTTTATTCGGTATCATATTTGTGTTATTAATAATTTATTATTATTATTATTATATATATATATATATATATATATATATTTACATAATAAATATAAAAATTTAAAATTAATATTTGTAATTATTTATTTAGGAAATGGTGGTGATGACCACCCTTTTGGTGTGAAAGACTCCCAGGGCAAATATGTTGTTCAAAATTCATGACCGACAAAYTTGGACCGTTTTCACCGATCGGTTGGATCCAAAAAAAAAAAAAAAGGCGATTGAAGTGATAAAACTTAAACATCTTATCGTCCTTTCATTGAAAAAGWGAGAAAATCATACGGTATTTTCATTCTACAACCTACTCCTGTCCTTTTAGTCGACAAACTGGATTAGTTTTTCCTCAATTTACCTCTTCCACCCTTCACCTTTTCACCAACCACTCAACTTTCATCAAAAACACACACTCAATTCTCTCTTTCTGGATTTTAATAAAGATGACATCTTTATGTTTGGTTGATTCATGGGTTCCAACGTGTTCCATGCTTAATGGATCTTCATCTTCTTCTTTCGTGGGATTCATGTGCACATCACCTCTCAAATGTGGTAAACCCCATTTCAAGAATCATCCAAGATCCAGATTTTCTTCTTCTTCTTTCTCCGTTTCTGCTGTGATTGCAAAGGAAGACCAAGAAGACTCCTCCGATTTCCAGAAATCCAGCTTCGATTTCAAGGCGTACATGGCGGAGAAGGCTAATTTGGTAAACAAGGCGCTGGAAGAATCCATTTCCATTAAAACTCCACCCACAATCCACGAAGCTATGCGTTACACCCTCCTCGCCGGAGGCAAGCGTGTCAGGCCCGTCCTCTGCATCGCCGCCTGCGAGCTCGTCGGTGGAGACGAATACACCGCGATGCCTGCCGCTTGTGCTCTTGAAATGATACACACCATGTCAATGATCCACGACGACCTCCCTTGCATGGACAACGAAGATTTTCGCCGAGGAAAACCCACTAACCACAAGGTTTACGGCGAAGACATGGCGGTTCTTGCCGGAGACTTGCTCGTCGTGCTCGCTTTCCAACATGTCTCCAGCGTCACCGTCCGCGTGTCGCCTGCACGCATCCTGGCTGCCGTCGCCGAACTCGCCAAGTCTACCGGGATGGAAGGGTTAGCCGCGGGTCAAATGCTGGACATAGCTTTAACAGGGGAGAAGGACGTCGGAAAGGACGAGCTTGAATTCATCAGCCTACACAAGACGGGGGCGGTTTTGGAGGCAGCCGTCGTAGTAGGGGCGATATTGGGCGGAGGGAACAAGACCCAGGTGGAAAAGCTTCGGAAATTCGCAAGATGTATTGGACTATTGTTTCAGGTAATGGATGATATATTAGACGTCACCAAAGATTCGGTGTTAGACAAGATGACATATCCAAAACTGATGGGAATGGAGAAATGCCGGCAGTATGCGGAGGAGTTGTTGGCAGAGGCTAAGCAGCAGTTAGAGGGTTTTGAATCATACAAGGCAGTGGTGCCGCTAGTAGCCATGGCGGAGTATATAGCTTCCCAGCAKAACTGAAACCAAGCTATTTTATTTTCGATGGGTTCGAGTCTTCTCCGTCAATGTTGTAAGATTGGTTTACCTGCAACATGATAATAAAAAACTATAGRAAAATTGCACCAAAATGGAATCAAATTTCACCAAAATTTTATTTTAGGGAACTAATTTTTAAAATTGTCATTTTGGGGAACCAACTTGCACTTGATTCCTATTTTGGG